CTCGGGGTGAGCCCGTGGGAACGGGTTCGCGTGGCAAGGAGGAGGATGGGGTCCCGGGGCGTGGCGGAGCGTGGCGGAGCGTGGCGGAGCGTGGCGGCGGGGCGCCCTCTATCCCGGGCTCAGGTAGGAGGAAGATGATGGAACCAGCCGCCCCGCCCCGCCCGGAAGGGGCGCCCCCCTCGGTACTGCACTGCGATCAGCCGCCGCTCGTATGTCGGGGGCCAGGATCAGGATCAGGAGCGTGGAAGGGGGAGGCAAGCGGCGGAGTGCGTGAGCAGCGCGGCGCGCAGGGGAGGCCGCCGTGCCGCCGCCGTGCCGCCGTGCGTGCGTCGGGCGCGCTTCCGACGCGCGACGTGGCGATGCAGGGCGGCAGGCTCACGTCGTCGACCCTTCCGCGCGCAGGCCCGGCCGCGAGGTGACCAGGGGGTGACCCTCGGGTCGGCTGGCCTGCGTCCTTCGTGTATAGCGAGTTTTTTCCGAACGACGTTGTTCTCTGATTTTGCCTTCTAAGTCCCCCCCCCCTACACACACACACCTATGCCCGCCGTTCACCACCCACTCCCCGACCATGCTGCTGTGGCTTTTGTCTTTTTCATTACTGGGGCCACTGGGGCAATATGATGCCAATGCGTTAGGTACGGGGTAGCTACGAAAATGGTGTTAGAGGTTTAGTTCCTTCACTTTTCTGCTCTATGGTTAAATTTGCTGTGATCTACAATGTGGTCTTAATTTTCTATTTTGTTCAGGAAAACACCAAAATCGAGCTGTCTATCCGTCCTATCTAAATTAAACAGCCACGTTTCGACATGGATCACAGCGGTCAGCGGCATAGGAGAAGACAGTTGCATCAGTTGCATCCGAACTCGTCTCTGCTATACTGCAGGATTATTAAAATGAGGCAGGGTGCGAAGAGAGGGAAAGAGGGTGGAGAATCAAGTTGCACAACAACAAGTTGCACGGCCATTTAGTGTGTGGACGTCCGCCGTCGACGGCGAAAAAGAGGAGGGCAGAGAGTTCGAAATAAGCCTGTCTTGAAACGGCACCAAAAATCAAATAAATGCCGCTTTCGCCTACTAAATCAACTACGCGAAGAAAGAGATGAAGACAAAAGCCACCCCTCTGCTGTACTGAGTTCCAATTATAATCTCAAACAGATTTATATAATAAGTGAGACTATACCGACACCATCTAACACACCAGGTGGCTGATTCATACCGCGCACTTTTGTACTATGCAACCCGACAATCCCCTGTGCCTGGTCGGTAGACCAGGGGTCTGTAGACCACCCTGTACATAGTCATAATCCTAACTGAACCCAGAAGTTGCCAGCTAAAACAGAAGGGGCGGGCACGACCAAGTAGCTGATAGCTCGCAGACTGTCGTGACTACCTGAGTTGTCTTGAGACCTAAGGTTGTGAAGTGGGGGTGGGGTCATCCGCCCCCACTCTCGCACACACAAACACATACTTTCTTGTGGTGTGTAGTGAGTCTAGCGGAGCGGGAGCCCCTGCAAGAAACCCCTCCACCCCACGGCCCACGGCCCGGGACAAACGAGGTGCAGCAAGTGTCTGGTGACAGCGCCCTGTCTCGCCTACATCTACCCCCCCCCCCCCCCCAATGCCTCTCCGCCCTCACGTCCGCTCCCTCCCATTGAAAGAGGTTGATCTGGGACGCTCAGCGAGGTCACTGGGACACGGGGGTGCAGATTCTTAAAGTAAGAAGGGGGGCGGCTAATTCGTACATCCGCCTGCAGTGTTAGGCCCACATCAACACTTCAATAACACTTCAAAAAAATACCGAACCCATAAGTTCCAGTTCAATCCGCTTCGTCCCAAAACGGAGTTCATTATACCAGGTGGCTGATTCACGCCGCGCACTTCTGTAGTTATGCTGTACCGCATGCACTGGTGCGGGTGGGTTGCCTACTCGTTCGGCTCGTAAGGTGCCGTGGACAGGGGCGTTAGGCAAGCCCACGCGCACTCGTCCATGCGGTACAGTATACCTACAGAAGTGCGCGGCCTACCAGCCACCTGGTACTATTCCACTTTTTGTGGTTGAGCTGCAAGTGTTTAACCATGGTTTTACGCTCCTTTTTGAATGTGATAGGACGCCAAGGCGAGTCCGCTGCCGGCCAGCGCGCCGTTGCTGATAGGCAACCTGCCCGCATGACTGCATGCGGACTAGGCTAGCACCGACTCATTCCGACGCTGCTGGCCGCTGGCCGGCTGACCGTTTAGCCGCTGGACGGTGGACGCGGACGCCCACCATGTAGTATTCCCGTCACGCCAGTAACTGCGCGCCAATAAGTTTGCTCGTCCCGCCAAAAGAAGGGCAAGAGCAGCTGATCCGCACGTCCGTGCTGCTGCTGCTGCCACTACTACTACTACTACTGCTGCTACCACCACCACACGTACTACAACTACTCATCGATGATCCCCATTCATTATTTTCGGGTCCCGAGGGGGGAGGAAGTAGTAGGGCAACATCCTGGGCCTCCTCCCCTCCCCCCTCCCCTTTCACAACTGGACCGCCGCCGCCGCCACCCCTCCCTGCACCACCTGGCCACATGCCGCTACACACACACACACACATACACGTCCGGCCGGCCGGTTGTCGAGGTGGGGTGCGGAGAGGAGGGGGGAGGGGTGGGAAAAAGGAGGGGGTCGTGGGAACGGCGTGGGAACCGCTAGCCCTCCGGAGGGAGGGTGCGCCGCGCGCTGCAGAGGGTTAATCATAATGATCGGAATAGGTGAGCCAAATGGAATTGAAAACACTTTTGTGTATCGGCGCGCGCGCGCGCGTATGCATCGCAGTAGACGCTGCGTTTTCCCGCGCGTCGCGTGGACAATGGACACCTGGAAACCATACGAAATACTTCCATGGATTAGAAGCATAATAATCGACATTATTCCCGCCGCGGTCTCCTGTCCTGTGATATTGCCTGACCTCGTTTGAAAGTCACATGGTGCATCTCATTGAAACAGTGGGTAGACAGAAGTAGGACTAACGACACAACCTTCCATCCATGATCGCGGGGGGCGCCGGGCCGGGGGAATGGGAGGCTAGAGTGAGGCGCGTGGCGGCGTGTGGCGGTCTCGAGCCCCAAGCCCAAGAGCTAGGTTCGCCCCCCCCCCTTTTTCGGATGTGGGAGCACGGAGATTTGAGAGTCAGCCCTCTGCAAGCTACCTACTACCTTACCCCCCTTCTCCCCCCGATTTAGTTGCCACCTGCTGCTTATTCCTGCCGTTCCTGCCGGTCTTCGGTAGGTATCGAGCAGAGTCTAGGTTTAGTGCGAAAGTTTCAGCGTAAGGCGATGACCGAGATGCGTTGATACCTTGAAGTTGAAGTTGAAGATCTTGGTGGTGTCGCAGCTCGACTGCTATAATTGTGCTTCAGCCGCTAACAGAAGGCAAAAGAGGAATGAATGGCTGGTAATGGGGGTAAAGACGCGACCAATCAGGAAACCTAAATCACAAGGATAATAATAATTTATAGAGTTATTTGAAGCAGAATGATACCGGCTCGGATTGTTGACCACCGGCCGGGGTTCGATACCGAGCAAACCAAAAGAAAATTATTTCTTTGAAAGAAGGGAATTTCCGGGAATTTCCTTGATTTCGACATAAAATCAAAGAAATTGAGCTCACATAAAAATAACTGAATTTTTTCCGTAAATTTGTCGGAAGTTTGCCCTATGCCGTAAACTTAAAGAAAAATCTTTCATTTAAAGAAGTCTTTCTAAATAAAGGAAATTTCTTTGGAACAAGGGAAACTAGTTTTTGAGTGCAGGCTAGTCGCTTCTTTTCAGTATTCATCGAGCTGCGAAGGGTCAACTGGATTTGTCCTGGATCTGATCGGATGCATTCGTAGATTTTTTCCAATTAATGCAGGCGAGGTAACCTCCAGTTCCAGTCTTTGGGACAACTCAGCCGTAGTGAATGGCGATCGCGCGACAGGTGCGGTATAAGGGGTG